CAGATTCTTATGATCTTATCTAAATTATTATTATTAGATCTAACTTGGTTATATCATCTACTATAGGCCAGGGGGGGCTTTCTGGCCCCTCCTTTTTTTTAATATCTAATATTTTTACATGCTGCTAGTGAAAGAACCTGTTGTTAAAATATTTGAATCCCACCACTGCATCTGGCCTATAAGGATGCTACTAGCTATATGCAGAACACATTCAGGAAAATTAAGAAACAATTATTAGGATACTCCTAAATAAAGATGTTCTTCCTAGCTATGGATGAGTGAAATTAGCAGCTTTTTCATCTGCCAGTTATAAGTCAAATAATGTGTTAGATAAGGATTTAAGTCATAGGAATATTTTGCCATTGACTGCCATACTCTGAACCTAACTTGGCGTACCTGATGTCCTTTCATACAAGAAAAATTCCAACAAGAACATCTAAAGAAACAGTGAAAATATTTCCCAAGTCTGTGGTTTGTTCCTACAAGTTCCTATTAGATTCTGTTATTCTAAGCAGGAGCAAGGTCTTGTTACTTTCCCACAAAACCATAAATTACTTCATACATGCATCTCTCTATTCATCCTACATTGAAGTGAACAGTTTACAGTGTTCTCTATCCAATAGTATTTAAACCTTATCAGTAGCTGAGCTTCATTAGTAGTTCACACTACATTCTATGAGGTCATAAAAAGCTGTGCTAATAAAGTAGAAAAAAAGAGAAAAAAAAGAGATGAGGAACTAAACATTAAATTACGGTATTTTTGTAAATGTAAACCAATGCTTGAAATGGGTAAAAACAATTTTAAGAAATCAGTAAGTGCATAACTTTAAGAGGATACTTTTTGGAGCTATCCCAAAATGTAAGTATAAAACTATTTCATAGTTCTTTGCCAATTATATAGAATAACTGTTATAAAATGATGAAGTATCATTTCTTTAATATTTTTGAGTATAGAATTTGTTGAAGTAGAGTTAAAATTACTATTTTGCTTAAATTTTGAAACTTGATATGCATGTGTCCACCTGAAAGGGTTAAACAACAATTAATGTTTACAAGTTTTTTCAACCTCATTTAATACACAACTATAATTTATTAGTTAATTACTATCAAATTAAACAGATGACTATTAATGAATATCATTGAAATAGTTGATTCATTTTAAATTTACTAAAATTACTCTTGTGTGTGCTGTTATGCCTGTAGACTTCTGTTTTACTTTAAAATCTGTAAACTAGGCCATGAGCCATTGTTAAAATGTATATTTTTATGAGAATTTTCATTTTAATTGAGCATGTGAAGCAACATCGGCAGTAAAATAAAGTTGACCTATTTTGTTTTGTTTTTTTCAATCATTGTTTGCCACCTTCTGTTGGGCTTTGTTTTCTGAATTAGCTTTTGGTTTTACTGTACATGAAAATATTTGACAACGGATTATAAAATGTATAATTCTATTAAAAGGGATGTTTTTTTTTCCTCCTACAAAGAAAGAATTGCAATTTGTTGAAATGCAAGAAGACAGGAGAATTTAAATAGTATTTAATATTTCTTCTATGGTAATCTGAAGTTGTGTTTTTTTGCTTTATTGACTAATACTGATGTTCTATGAGCTCTGGATAGAAAGGATATGCCATATTTAATACGACACGTTATATTTCTATTTTTTTGTCAGGAAAGAACTCTTTCCGAGCCATATTCAGCTGAATCCAGCAAGTCAATATCAAGGTGTTCCCTATCCTTTTGGTATTGATCCAGTAAGTTTAGTTCTATTATATTTTTCTAAATTAAAATGAGAAATAAGAATTCTTCATAACTTTGACAAATTGCTCAAAACAGTAATAATAGAAAATGGATTGAGAAACAATCTAAGTAAGGAAATCTCTTAATTTCTTGAGCAATTCTCATGTTCCTTCTGTTTGGTTTTTATTTGAGGCATATCTCCATCTGGAAAGAAATTGAAAGGAATCACTCATTATTTATTTGGACAATTTTTATTTGTTTCCAAAGTATAATTATTGTTTTGCTTAAAGCTGAATGTTTTTCTTGATTGTATTCAAAAATATTAAAGAAATCTCATTTCTTCACATGTAGAGTAAACTGTAGTCAAGATGGAATTTAACTGATTTAAATATAGTAAGAAAAGGAAAATTAAATCTAGCCTCAGTCAACATTATTTTGTAAAATGATGATGACTTATAACTGTAGAAATTATAATTTTATCATTGAAAATCATTCACAGGTTTTTTATTTCTTTTAATGCTGAAATAAAATTGTTGAATCTTATGGCATAAAAATTTTGTACTTGATTGGCCAAGGTCTACATCAGGTCACACAATTCCCTCTCATATCCCAACAAAGACTGAAAAAAAGTTTTTTACTCTACTATTTTTTCTGTTTATTGGTAAACAGTTTGACAGTTCCTGTTGTACTTGTTGTTTTAACTGAAGTAATTATTATTATTATTATTAGTATTTTTAAATTTTTAATAGTCATTTTCAAAACCTAATTACTTTTGTGGCATAGTACCTTATTAAAAAAATAACTAATACAGAGGTTGAGTACATTATATTAAAACAGTTTTGGAGCCTCATCACATTGTTACAGACCATGTTATCATGTTTACTCATGCTCTATCTGATGGATGTTCATCTTGACAATAGCTCTGCAGTGTAGTTTTTGTTGTGAAAGGCTCTGTTATAATATTTTTATGTCCATAGCATTCCATTTCCTGCTGGCTTTCCATAATCCATTTAGTGTACAAGGAAGATGATTTATCAGTGTCTATTTCAACAGACTGATTGCACAAAAGTCGAAAGATGTTGCATGTAAAGATATGTGATGTCTTTGTACAGGATAGCAAGAATATTGGTTTTATCCTCCAGCTGCTTGAAGTATGTGATAGTTGAATAGCTATGCTGTTGAAGGAACTTGTCACTTTTCCAGGCAGAGATCCTTTATGATTATATTGTGTTCTGTTGCCTGGGGCACATGAATTGTTTTTACCACTTGTTTTTAAATTTTAATGAGTTGTTATCATTACAGATTATTATTTTATCTCCATGAAACTAGATGAAGATGAAAAGCTCTAAAAGATGCTGTTCATGACTATCATTAATAGCCTGTTCATCAACTCCCTATATGCAGTAGTAATTTATCATTTATCACCCTATTATGTATAAGTATTAAGTATGGACCTTACCTGTGTATTTACACTACAAGTATTGTTATTCTCCTTCAGTAAGTCATGGTGTGTACACAATGGGTGATTTGCTTAAAGTCTTGTGTAAAGTAATGAATCACATGATATCACCAATAGGTTTGAAATTACTTATAAAAGAATTGCTATCCCAAACGACTACATCAGGAATGTAATTGAATATTGTCAAATTTAAGCTCGTACTGTTGATAAAAAAATAAAGTTTGTAAAATGTAGATAACCATTCTACAAATAAACTAAGACTAGTTATGTTTAAAGTGATGTGCTACCTTTATAAAGCTGAAATTGTGAATGTTTTTCTTTGGTAAGTATTAGTGAAATATTCTCTCAAACCTTTAACTTGCATTACACAAAAATGCTTAACTTCTACAGTGAGACTACTTTTGAAATGTTGAATGCAGAATGTGATGTACGTGTTAGTGTATAAATTATGTTTTGAACGATGCACACCTAAAAGTTCAAGAGCATTATATGTTGGCATAAAGAAATGTATTGCAGAATGTGTCATACAATAGGTATTCGATACAATTAATACAATTTGATTATAAAAGGGGTGAGTAATTCTATAGAGTTTAATCAAGAAAGCTTAAGAAAGTGCTTTGATTTATTTCTTTAATTATTAGTAATAAAATAAGCGTGTTCTTGATGTTAAAATAGATTTTGCTTGCTTTTAAAAATTTATAATAAAAGTGTATTTAACTGCATTAAGTTATAAGTTTATTTAGATGCATTGGAAACAAAACACGCTTTGATTCGTTCACATACGTACTTTATAAGAGTTGTGTTACAGAAATGTACCTTACTTAAATTGTTCACTTTTAAAACTTTTTCATATGAAACAGTATTAGTGGAATATTTTGCACAAAGTTAAATATTTTGTGGAATTTGAAGCTGTTTCATGTTTTTATGTAATTCCTAGATCATATGCATTTGGGGATTGTATAGAGTAAGAAAAATTTACTTATTGTCTAATTTTATTACTGTTCACATGACTCTTTTCAATTCCATATGATTTATCACCATCCAGAAAAACATTTTACAGACTAGAAGTAACTACCATTCTAGTGCTTTTGTTTAAACTATTGTTGTGGTTTTTAATGATGCTAGAAAAACATGTAGGTTCAAGAAGTCTTGACAGAAATTAATATAAATCCTATAACCCGAGCGCTTTCGAAAGGTGGACCTTTCTTCTTCAGGGGCAAACTGGAAATGGTGGTGTAATCGAATATAAAGGGAGTTTAGTGATGTCATGCAGGTCATTTGGTTTTCCAGGAAATGTTTAGTCTGTTTCTCTATGTACTGTTGTGGGCATCTCATTTCCGGTACAGTGTAGCCAATGGCAAGAGTGTATGTGAAAAGGTGTTAGGGATATTGTACTTTAGAAATGGATAAATATATGTATATTTAAAACTATATTTAAGTGTTTAAGTAAAATAAGGTGACACCTGGAGACTGAGTGAAAATTATATGTTATGCTAATCAATTTATAAAAACAGGTATGGAAAATTATCTTAAATAAATAGTAAGTTTTAGGAAATTCAGTGTTCACATTACATGAAAAAATTAAGCAAAGAATAAAAATTATTTTTCTGAGAGAGATGAAACCAATGAACGGAGATAACTGATTTCAGGATCTTGATTAATTTTGAAAGGTTGAACAGTGTTTAGATTAGCAATCCAGTAAACTTCTTTTATTTCTCTATCTGCTTTAGTTTTGAATCCTGTTTCAGTGCCGATGAGAGTAACATTGTTAATGGAATGACTGGGTTGGTTAAAGTGTTGAGCAACAGGGAGATCTTTTTTGGTGTTAATAGAAGATTTATGGTTGTTGAAACCTTCTCTAAGAGTTGTTTGTGTATGTCCTACATATTGAAAATTGCATTTTTTACACTGTATAAGGTAAATGGGGTTTTTTGTTGCACAAGTGATTTCTTTGAATATTTTAAAGTTTCATTGATTGTGCTTGTCAGAAAATGAGTCAGTGGTTTTTATGAACTTGCAGGTTTGACAACGGGCTTTATTACATGGACGACAAACATTTTTGGGTGGGATGTAATTCACTTTTGTGTGAACAAAGATATCAGTTAGAGCTCTGCTTTTTCGGAAGGAGACAATGGGAACTTCAGGAAATATCTGTTTAAGGAGATGAAAATGTTTTTTCAGAATTTGCGAAACGTTTCTGAGTTTAAACTGATAGGTAATAATAAGAGGAATTCCATTTTAAAGTTTAGTATTGCTCTGATTTATGATGTTTTTCTGCTGAGTGTTGTTAGCCTTTTCAATTTGTCTGTCAATTTTGGTATCTTTATATCTTCTTTGTAACATGGTTTGTTTTGGATTCTTGGTGTGTTTTCTGTAGTCTGTTTCATCTGAGCATATTTTCTTTATTTTCACTGTAGGTAATGTTTTGTTTAGTGTGAGAGGAGTGACAGCTTTTATAGTGAAGGTATTGTGGTCTGTGTGTAGGTTTTTTTGTACAAGTCAGTGTGTAAAATTCCATCTTTTAGAAAAACAGTGACGTCAAGAGAGTTAATCAGGGTAGGCAAGTAATCACAGGTAAACTTGATTGTTTTATGGAAGGAGTTTGCATATGAGATAAATTCTTTAAGTGATTTAAGACCAGCTGTTCAAATGAAAAATATGTCATCTATGTAACATTTCCATGTATGAAGTTTTACAGTTCTTAATTGTAAAAGCTGGTTTTCAATATGACCCATAAAAATGTTGGAATAATTGGAAGCCATTTTGGTACCCATTGCAGTACTGTTAACTTGAATGTAATACTCGTTATTGAATACGAAGCTGTTCAGAGTTAAAATGAGGCTGGTAAGATCAGTTACTGTTTGAGGTTCTGATTGTTTAGAAAGATTTAATGCGGACTTTAGAGCTTGTAGTCTTTCATCATGTGGAATATTGGTGTAAAGGGAAGAAACATCCATCATGCAGAGAAGATTGTCAGGTGGTAACTGTTCGTCAGTATTAATATCTTCTACAATGTTACGAAAGTGAGTAGTATCCTTTGTGTAAGAGGGGAGGGTACATGGAATACATTTTATGTGTTGGTCAACAAAGGCGGACAGCTTTTCAGTAGCCATGTCTTTATTAGAAATTATGGGTCGGCCAGCATTGTTTTGTTTGTGTATTTTGAGTAAGAGATGAAATCTACCAGGAAAAGCTTGTCTGGATATCAAATACTGAAAGGTCTCTTTGTTAATTTTATTATTTTGGAGGAGTTCTTTAAGCTTATCAGTTATGGTCTTAATAAAGTGAGTTGTAGGATCATGTGAGAATTTTTTGTAGAAATTAGTGTCCTCTAATTACTGGTAAGCTTCTGTGATATAGTCGTCTTTGTTAAGAATAACAATAGCTCCACCCTTGTCTGCTGGTTTTATTATGATATTGTTGTTTGATTTAAGATTGTTGAAAGCACTTCTTTCATTTTGGGTAATATTATCAAGACATTGCTTGGAAGATTTTAAGGTCTGTATTATGTCATTTTCTACTACTTTAATATAACTCTAAATGTGGTTCTCTGTTTGGTCGAGATTTCCATAAAGACTTTTATTTAAAGTTTAGTGTATGTTGATTTTCAGTAGGGTTGGTTTTGTTGTGAAAAAATTCACGAAGTCTTAGTTATCTAGAGAATTTATGAAGGTCAGAAAAAAGTTCAGGCTCATTAACATAGCTGTTGTTTGGGTAGAAGTTGAGACCTTTACTAAGAAGACTGAGTTCTGCTTCAGAGAGAGTTGTGTCTGAAAGATTAACAATGTTGGAGATATGTCAGAAGTGTTCATCGTTATCTGTATATTTTATGTTATTTTTAACAGATTTGTTAGTTTGAGAAGCCTTACGTGTATTAGAGGATGAAGTGTTTTAAACATTTTTTAGGCTGTTCATTGTGAGATAAAGGGATTTTGGTAGTTTCTGGTACACTGCTTAATGTCATGGTAGTTTTTTTAGGCTGTTCATTGTGAGATAAAGGGATTTTGGTAGTTTCTGGTACACTGCTTAATGTCATGGTAGTTTTTTTAGGACAAAGAAAGGGTTCAAAAGAGTGTTGTTAGAAGTGCTTTTTGAATTGGTGTTATTGGTAGGAAACCAATTTTTGTTATTCTTTTTTAGAAGGAATGTATCAGTTCTCTTTGTAAATTTTTGTAGTTCTTCTTTTTCTTCCAGCGAAGGATTGTACAAGTGATAATAGTGGGAAATTTCTTTATCTAGAATATCGACAGAATTTTGACAGAATGTTTTAGCCCTATTCATGAGTTCTAAGGAGGATTTTCCAAGGATCAGTTGGTATTTGTTGCAGAAGTTCTGATCATGTTTTCCTATTGTTATTGGTGCCTTTAATGCGAGAGATTGAGGTATGTTTTTGTTGTTATGTATTAGCGACTTGGCATGTTGACAGTGAGTTTTCTAAGTTTTTGAAATAGTTGTTTTCTGCTGTAGTTGAGTGATTCGCTGCTTGGTTCACATTGAATGTTGACAGATATTGGTGTGAGGACGTTGTTGGAATCGTGAGATAGAAGATGGTTAAGTTTAAGATAAGAACTATCTTCTTCAGAGTGTGGAGTGCATTGCTGGTTGTTCTGAGAGTTTATGCTAACAGATGAAAGACTACTGTGTTCTTATGAAGGTAATTCTAGAAGAGACTGATCGACTGGTGAAGATTGTAGTGTGTAACATGTAGCATTTACACTGGTATTGATTTGGTGTGGATTTGTAGATAGGGGAGTGGAAAGGTTTATGGGTAAACAAGAACGAACAACAGAAGCATAAGAAGAACTTGTGTTGCTATTTGTGGAATGTGATGTATTGGGGGAAGTGTGATTTGTGTTTAATTTTAAATATACATATATTTATCCATTTCCAAAGTAAAATATCCTTAACACCTTTTCACATACACTCTCATCATCGGCTACACTCTACCGGAAATGAGATGCTTACAACAGTACATAGAGAAATAGATTAAACATTTCCTGATGATGACCTGCATGATGTCACTAAACTCCCTTTATATTACACCACCATTTCCAGTTTGCCCTGAAGAAGAAAGGTCCACCTTTTGAAAGTGTTGTGGTTTTTAATTTGGTTTCACTTGCATTTATTATTTGTAAGTGAAACCAACAATGCACTACATACATGACTCAAGTGAATGAACACTTGATATACATAAGAATGTAAATGTGACAACTTTGATGAATTCTTAAGCATTATTCTCTTAGCAAGGCCTTGTGCTATGGATTGGAACTTTGAATAAAGAATATTTTGCAGATTTGATTATTCTTTTTTTCCTTACCTGATTTACACGTACTTTCAGTAAGCATCAAGAATTACAGCCTAAACCCTCATTATTACTTTTATATTTTTACTACTAGTTGACAGAAGACTTTGACAAATCAACACAATTGGCAATATTAGTTATGCATTATTTCATGTTGCACTAAAGTTTATTAACTGCAGTGCTATTTCTTCATTTTATTATTATTATTATATTTTATTTTCCAAATGTAAGTGTATTTATGGTACTTGTTTTGACGTAACATATTTATGTGAGTTTTCTTTACTTAATTTCAAAATAGCCAAACATTTTTTTTCCATATTTCTTAGGTTTGGCAAGTTGCAGAAAACAAAATCCTCTTTATGAACTCCTACAAGATGAAAGTGTCCGTAATCTTAGGAGTATCTCAGATGATTTTTGGTGTGAGTCTTAGCCTAATTAACCACAAGTAAGAATTTTTATAAAACTAAATAAAATTCTAATATCAGTGTTATTCTTCAAACACTGGTGGGATATTTTTAATGCAAGTTTAAAACAAAAACAATACTTCTTGATGATCTAGCTGGACAGTAGTAGCACAATTACCTGATTTTGTAATACTTTTCTTTAGTCACACAAAGTGTAACCCCCCAGTGTCACAGAGATATGTCCACGGACTTATACTACTAAAAATCGGGTATTGATACCTGTGGTAGACAGGACACAGATAGCCCTTTGTGTAGCTTTGTGCTTAATAACAAACAACAAAAACACAAAGTCCAGAAAATCAATCTATCTATATGTATAGAATTTCTATTGGAGTGAATAACTAGTTCTTATTGCAAATAGATGTACAGTTGGCACAAACTTTTTCTTGTATAATAAACTTGACTATTTTCTTATTAGTGTGGGAATTTACATTGATATGATGAAGCACATGTGCTAGGATAAACAAATCTTTTCTTTAAGTGCAGATTATTTAACAATATTCTAAAAGTCATGTTTAATGAATCTTCCCACACTTTGAAAATTTTCTTAGTGTTTTTTTGTTGTTGTTGTTATCGTCATTAAATGAACAATAATATTTAGATTCTCTCTGCCAGTAGGTTATATCAAAAACCAACAGTTTTTTGTCTATTCAGTGTGAAAATTTCTCTATTGATAGAACTATTAATATGTTAAAAATATAACATCTAAATGCTACAGGAAACATTCTGTATTTAGTTTCTTTCTAATCCTGCAAGGGACATAATTTTTTCCCCCATCCTGCTTATTGCTTATCACCCAATGTTTTTAATTATAATAATATAATGTTGTAGTGGCATACATAGACCTATATTAACTTAGAAACAACATAAATTTGGAGAAATTTCAGTTTTTAGTCAGGTAAAAATTGAAAATGTTGTTGAGGAATAATTAATGTTCTTGATTAATTGTTGTATTAATTTTTTTTTTAACAGGTACTTCAAGCATCCACTAAATGTTATTTGTGAGTTTGTGCCACAGATAATTTTTCTGTTGGCCATCTTTGGTTATTTGGTTCTGTTAATCTTTGCGAAGTGGGTGACTTATGATGTCAGTGATTCCAGCTGTGCTCGAAGTCTTCTGATAATGCTAATCAACATGTTCATTTTCAGCTATCCCACTCACCCATGCTACCTTTCAGCTATGTATAATGGTCAGGTAAGATATATTTTTATCATGTTCATATGCGACTGTTCTATTTAGCAGCTATATATTTAAAAATCACATAGGTTCTTTTCTATTCATTTTCAACTATCCTTCCTACCCTTATGTTTAACCCTATCGGCCCGGGTACCCTTTACTGCGCATGACACAAGGTTTTAGTGTCTTACATTCAAAATTTTATTAAACTACTTTTTGTTTGTTATACCAATTAGAATAGCATAAAATCTTAGCTAATAATCCATATTTTAATAGTATATAAGTTTTAAGTTCTTACTTCTAAAAGGAAATAAATAAAAAAATCCTGAATTTCCACTAGTGTAATACACATGACACATTTTGTCTCAGCATGTCATCATCCCTATTTTATCCATCACCCCTTGAAAATCTACAAGATTAAACGTAAAATGCTCTCTATAAAATCGTTATTGCTCAAACAAACCATAATTTTTATAGTCTTCAATATTGTTTGGTTACAGAGCTATGGAAGAGAAAATCAGACCTCTCCTGCCACACCCACCTATCACATCCTCTTTTTCACAATTTGTTGATAGTTCTCTCTTACGTTTCATTATATATTACCTATAACCAATAGAAAGTCATGGTTTTCATCTATCAAATGGCATATTGTATAACGTTGTGTTCTGAACAGATAATGTCAATTTCACTCTGAGTAGCAACATTGTTCTTGTGGGAAAGTTAATGACTAGCTTGGATAAATTGGTAATGGCTCTTGTCGCGTAGTTAGAAAGCCAGG